ACAATGGAAGCAGAAGGTGAATTTTGATGAGTGCTATCTGTGTAATGATACAAAATTTCTAAATACATTTTAAGTCTTTAGAAGCAAAATACAGTAATTATAAGCAAAATACAATTTTAGTAATAGAATTGATGAGCAGTTTGTGCTTTTATAATTTTAAAAGCTGACATACTCTTTATGAAGGTCCCTTTTTAGATAAGTAGTAAACCAGATGCATTTAATCTGCAGATGTATTTTATCTTCTAATGGCACAATACTGATTTCAGCTGGTAATACTTGTAGTAGCAGAAATGCACTTGTGCCTAAGAGGAGTAATACCTGGATTTAACACAGCTAGGAGGGAAAAGTTAACACTTGCTCTCTGTTAGCAGAGTTGTACCAAGGAGTCCTCAGTCCAAAATGTTGTAATCCTGCCTTGTAATTATGCTTTTCAGGGATATAGTTGCTCAAAATTTCTGTATGGAGAGATTATTAATGAAGTTTCACCAATCTGAGGTCTGTACCTCCAGTGAAGCATAGATTTTTAGTTAGCCATAGATGTGTGATGCCAGGCACTATGTTTAACAACATAAAGTATTAAAATAATTACTTTGAAAAAGCTTAACGAATTTTAAAAACATTATTTCACTGTGAATTGACGTCCTCTAGAGATTTCCATAGGAGTTATGATGCCACTAGCACCGTGCGTTGTGTCGAGGAGGTCCTGAGCACTGAGAGTGGGTGCCTTGAGATGAGAAAGGAGGACAAAAAGAGGGCTGGGGAGGATAAGTCCTGCTGAGTGGGTGTCATGTCCTCCTGGCAAAATTCGAGCTCCTTAATGCCATGTAGCTTTTGACACAGTATGTGACTCTGAAGTTCAAGAACTAAAAAAACTGTCTATGTGCATAGGGTTTCCTGCAGATATATCTGGTTTAAGGATTATTAACTCTTCTTCCCAGGTTTTAACTGATTCTTTTAATTTTTACCTGGTGTCTTGGTTTAGAAGAGCAAGAGCATTTGTGATCCTCCTTGACCCAAACGAAAATAAATTTTTGATGTTACTTCTCGAAGACTTCTTTGACTCTGCATTGGTATGTACGTACATTAAGGGGGCAGAAGGGCTGCCTTTATTGGATAAGAAAGCCATCGTTCACAAACAGCTTTCTGCTAAAAAATAAATAGTTATGTGGACCTTGTGCTCTAGGACTGAGCCTGGGAGGCAGCTCAGGTGGTGGGGATGGGCAATGCCCAGCAGCCTGCTCTGGGCTGGCGTTAGGCTGAGGTTTGATGCACCTGGGAGAAGCCACTGTGGGGCTGCACAGGGCTGCAGCATTTTCTAATGTGAAGCCGAGTGTTTGTTTTTGCAGGAAAACGTGCAAGAAGTTCTGATGCATTTTGTAAACAAAAGCTTTTGTGCTAAAGCCCTTGTCTAAAAACCCAAGTTGCCGCACTGAGCTGCATCTTACGTGCAAATGCGTTTGCCGAGGTGGTCCTGGCGATTTGTTCCTACGGTGTTTGAAATGGCTGATTTACTTTTAAAGAATAATCTGAACTGCTTACAATTCTCATTTAGGTTTCTATTCTAGATGTTCATAACTTTAAAGGTATCGGAGACCCGGTGATGTATATTTTCAGTAGGAAGAATGCTTTTAGCTTCTTTCCCCAAGCTGTTTCCCCAATCTTGTCTGTAGCTTACTGGAACTGTGTCACTTTGTGCCTCAGAATTTATTTGAATACTTATGACTCTTTTCTGGAGACTTGATAAAAGATATTTGAGCAAAATCAAATTTTCTTCTTTTCCACTAACCACATTGAAATTATATGAGATACTTTATAAATTATTTATTTGTCAAAATTTGATTTCTTTGTCTTCCTGGTCCATTTCCTCCATATGCTTTCACTGTGGAGGATGAAGTGTTGTTTTATTTGTGTTGAGTGGGGTTGTTTTTTTAATTATTATTTTTAATTTTTCTCAATGGACTTTAACACTCTTCAGATACCATATGTTATGATACCTAGTACTGTAGTGTGTAAACATAGAATGTGTTTTTTACATAGGCCCATATGTGCAATAAAAGTAATGAAGTGATGGCATGATGGGGGTTTTCCAGGGAACCTGAGGGTGCTGCCTCTCGAGTGCTGCTGAAACCCCCGGGGGAAGCGGGCGCTTCGTTCCCTTTACCCTCCCTGCATAATGCCAACCTGTATGATGAGGGTTACCGTACGTGATATACCTGATCAGGTGGCACTGCTTTTCCTGATGTGGGTACAGTAAAGTTTTATGTTATTTTAGCCCCTGAGAGGTGTGACAGTGGGGGCAAAAGTGCCTCAGCACTTTGAGTACTGCTGTTCTTGGGTTGTGGTGTATTAACGGGGGCTTCCTTTACTTTTTCCATCAGGTGATTTGCAGGTGTAGTAATGAAGGTCAGTATTGTTTTTCCTTCCATTCCTTGATATCCTGAATCTCGGTCTCGGGAGCACATTTCTTAATTCTGCTTGAACACTACCCCCTTTCTCTTCTTCCCTCTGCTCCCTGCCTCCCCCCACCTCCTCTCAGCAATGTTTGCTTTAAATCCTCCTGCTAATTTCCCTCCAGTTAACTTTCATTAACATTTACATCAGAGCACAAAACCTTTTACTGTTTCTTTTTGTTTGCTTGGTTTGAATATGCTGGAAAAAAAAAAAAATCTAGCTGTGGTATCTTGTTTAAATGGTCGACATCAAGTATTTCACTTGGTCAGAGTAAGTGGTGCTTCTGAAAGGATTTGAAGCTAGACAGTCTGCTCTTGCACGTCTATTCCTAATGGCTTCAGGTGTTATTCCCTTGCTGAAGGCAACCACCTCCACAGAATAACATGGTAACTCCTTCAGCCATCCTAACTAGGCGGAGTGATGTCTGTCTGTCTCTCATTTGTTTCAGTGGCAAGATTTTGTCTGTGGCTTTCCATTAGGGCAGGGGAGCAGGTGCTTTCAGAAAGAGCAAGTATCTGTGTGCCCAGATATCCAGGCTCACAAGTCACGTAAAAACGAAGCATTACATTCTGAGCTGGGTCCTTGTAGCTTATTCTAGCGGGAGCAGAGCAGACATGAGCGTCTTCTAGTTAATACCCCAGTGGTTTGCTCTGTTGACTTTGTCAAAAGCTGTATGTTACAGATTTATCTGTTGCAGTTAGTAAGTAGCTTCTCCTTTCTGAACCTATTTAAATAGTTACCCAGGTCAGCAGTTAAAGTATCTGGAGCTTTTTTTACAGAGACGCTACAAGTTCCCTTTTCTGTCTAGGATTAGATAGTTGCAAGTTTTGTTTAAAACTGAATCCCCACCTGGGATATTTTTACTCCTTCAACACCACAAACTGTAGTTGCTTCAACTATCTTTTATATGGAGACCAGCTCATTGCTAGCTGTAACCTTTCAAATTATTTTTCTAGGGAAGAAAGAGCTGGTGAATTTATTTTTACCTGAACTAGGGCATCTAGTGACAGAAGCAAATATTTGCTGCGCTCTGCGGCAGGAGGTAAGACTCGTACTAGGAGAAGAAAATACAGATGCATGCACACACAAGTGTGTGTAATTAGATTAAAAATGTGCAAAATATGTTACCGAATTCTTTTCCTTCTTGTTCTGCCCCTTCCTCTGCGGGGGCAAAGGCTTTGCGGACTCTCAACTCTATACTTGACAGTGTCCCGCGGGAGGAGAGAAAGAAATTCCCTCTGTCTGAAGAGATGTGCTCACTCACGTAAGCGGTTTTCCCTCCAGCTCCTGTAGCTAACACTGTCTTCCCTGCAACAAGAGTTACAGTTATTTTCACTTTAACTCATTGCATTATGTTGTTTCAGGAAAGACCTTGCAAAAACTATACTGGAGGTTGGTGGTAAGAAGTACTTAGTGGTTATTCTTATGAAGCTGGGGTTCTCCGGCTTTACTTCATCTGCTTATTTATTATAGATGAATTATAATTTAAATCATTTCCTTGTGGGTAGTTGATTCTGGGGGAGGAAAATCAGATGGTACTTTAAGAAAATATTAATCAAAAATTGTTACGTGTAACAATGCATTAGTTCTTTCTGGTTAGTATTAGTAATTCGTATTAACTAATAAGAAAAGCTAAACTGATATATGTAGAAAGGTAATTAGATCAGCTTTATGTATGTGTTTACAAAGTATGCTTACTGTTAGTCTTTAAAAAACAGATTTTGATGGCTTTGCCACAATGTGGACAACTTCAGTTAATGAGGTTTATAGCTTCTTGAGTGAAATCTTGTTTGTTTTCTCCTAGCAATAACACTTTCTAGGGCGTTACCACGGTATGTGAAATGTAACTTAATTGTAGTGAGTTAGTGATGAGGCTTTGCCCTCATCCTCTCCCTGATCCTCAGGAACATCTCCCGACGCACGCGTGTGTGTCATGGTTAGCAGCGCTCCGCACCTCGACCTCGCTGAGCCGGGGGAGCTGAGGACGCCTGGAGCTAACGCTTTTGCCTGTTACCCTCCACCTTTTTTCCTAGGTGAAACTGAAGCTAGCTGATGGATATGCCTGTATAGTATATTTGTGCAAGAGTAGCAATGCTACAACCCTCTGTTATGCTGGGGGAGATATTTATCCTGTGCTTACGTTTGCCATGTAGATTATGACCTTCAGGTTGCCCTTTCAGAAGCACTTTGTAGGTTAATGACAAAAAAATGGAGGGATGACCTTGTTCACCACTGGTTTGAAGATAACTATCTTGCTGAAGCTTTCAAAGAGATCAAGGATAGAGAATTTGAGACGGTGAGGGTCCTTATTTTGAAAACAACATACTTGACAAGTCTGTATAGGGGCTAGTTTTGTTTGAGTTCAGTCAGGATGTCCTTGTAAGAAGTTCCTACAAAACTGATTTTATAAATACACAAAGTTAGTTGTTTGTGGATGGTGGTGGTTTTTTTTTTTTTTTTTTAATCTGGCAAATATAAAATGGCATATTGCTAAAATAGCTTTTATTTCCAGGTTGTTTTACTTCTAAACCATAAATAAGTTAATTTTTGTCATTTATATTTGGAGGCTTGCTGGTCATAAGTTGGGTCAAACCATTTGTAGTAACTTGAGTGTTTCTTCCCCAGTGGCCTTTGGCTAATTAAAAGCTTATAATTGGAGTAGAGGTTACACAGCCCAATAGAATAACTTTTTGCAAAGGAAATGTAGCCTGTTTTAATAAGATGTCATTTGTCTTGAAGGACTGCAGAAAATTTCTTAACCAGCTAAATGAAAGGCTTGGGGATGAAAGAAGGTAAGCTGTGAACCAACAGACTAAACTGATGCAGAAAGGGAAAACTAGGATTGTAAACTGACTTGGGTTATATTAAAAAAAAAAAAAAAATCACATCACATGTGAATAATTAAGTTCTTAAGAAAGAGATTTTATTCATTTTAATAGTGGTTCTTTTGAAAGTAAATTAAATAAAGACAATGCATGCTACTAAAAGACTATATTCTCTAAGCTTCTCCAAGCTTAATTTACTTCTAGGAATTATGGATTCTTTCTTGAACAATAAGATTAGTAACCTATCTTAAAGATTTTCTTTCATAAAGTCAGACTCTGATGTTGAATGTATCATGTGAAGTCTGCTTTTCTTCCAGAGTCTATTCATTTCCTTGCATATCTGCTTTTGCTGACACGAACGAGGTAATAGTCCTTAACACTGTGATGCCTTCCCTACAGTGTTACTGCTGTTAAAATGTTACTTTCTGTGGTATAAGGGTTCCCCCCCGCCCTTGTTTTGTATTAGAGAGCTTAATTTTCTGGAGTGTAGAGTGTAACCTTCTATTCTAGTTCAAAATTTTGCTTATTTGTCACTTAACTCCCAACTTACTGCTGCTGACTTTGCTTTTGTATCAGCCAAATGATAGAGGCAGTGCTTCTCTTCATGGTGATGACAGAAGAGAGATCTCTAAAAAGAAACAGGAGGACAGGACAACTCTGATTCTGCCGGCAGAGCTGCTCCCAGACTGCCAGAAGACAAGATTAGCCTGATGCCCATGCAGGAGAGGTCATAGTTGCAGTTATAGATCCTGCAGACTGCTTTACTGGTCTTTAAGTAAACCTATTTGTGACACCGTTCCTGACAGTTGTATTGAATCAAAACCAAGTCGATGGAAGCCGGTTCCACTGCTTCCGCTTACTTCAAGCGCTCAGAAACACAGAAAACTTTCACAGACTCTCTCCCGCCACAAACACGCGAGCGTTTGCGTATTGCCTTTCCCTTGGCTGGTGTAGAGGGGTGTCTGACTTTGTGGGTATGGTTGGGTGAGCGGTAGGCTGGCAACTCACGGGTGGATCCCAATTCTTATTTCTGTAAGGTATGCATATGTGTACACACATCGGTAGGACAACTTTTCCCAATTACGTCTTGTTAAAGAAAACTGAGAATGAGACAGCAGTTGTGGGGTTTTTCTGGGAATGGCAGCACTGCTGTTGTGCTTCCCCAGGTGAAGAAGCCATCGGATGAGAAGCTGGAGGAGTTCTGGATCGACTTCAACACCGGCAGCCAGAGTGTGACTTTCTATGTGGACAGTAATGAGGTAACAGCAAAGCCCACGTGGCCTTGGGTTAGCCTAACGCAGCGGCTGCTCGCTCAGCCCTTCTGATGTGGTGGCTTTGGTTTTCAAAGGGTGCTCTTTGGGACTCTGTGAGGCTGTCGAAAGAAGCAGTCAGCAGTTACAGCCTGAAGGGTAAGATTTTCCAACCAGCACTATTCTCCGTTTGGCTGTGGGTCCACAAGACGCGTGGAGCCAACCTAAAATCTCACCATCACCAAAGAGAGTTCCTGTGTCTTCTCCCCCCTCCCTGTTGTGCCCTTTGATGGTCATCTTGCCCAGCTCTGCTTGTTGGACTGTCTGTGGGCCTGGTTAGCACAATAACCTACCCTCCCTACCCAAGCAAGACACGGCGAGGGGTCAGTTTGTAGATGTGCTAGGTAATAGCGTAATCATCTCGATCCAATGAGAAAGAAATGAACAGAGTAATTGGAAATGCATGGGCCAGATGTAAAAGAGACTTTTAAAAAAACCCCACACACTTATTCAAATGTTTTTGGGGCAGTAGACTGAATGTCTTGCTCTAAAACAGATTTAACTGCTTTTTTTACACAGAGGATGATGGAAAAAAGATTGTTAAAATTTACATGAAGATTCCTGCTACTTTTAACAAAACGGAAGCAACGAAAATCAAAATATCTTTCAGTGCTGAGTTTGAAATCTTAAGTATACTTAGAAAAGTCCTGGGAGATGAAAAAATGATGGTAAGCTCTTGATATAAGTTTTTTTCTTTTCTAAACTATATTTTACTTTGTATACACTGGGCAAAAACATGCAGTGGTTTTTTTGGTTTGGTGTTTGGTTTTTTTTTAATGTCTGTTTATTATGTATCTGTTTCCCTCTTGAGGATTTGTGACTCTCCATGTAGATGTTCTTAGCCTTGGCCTGAAAGAGAGATTAGAGACTTCAGGAAAGAAGTTTCAGGGGACTCAAATTTATGGTTTAGAAGCTGGAAGTTTAAACTGGTTTGTTAATCAGTTCAGTGTTATATGATTACTTTTGCTGAGTTTCTGAAGTAGGAAATAAAGCCTATGGCATTTAATTGCATAACTTGAAGGATAAACATTCTCTTAATTAGCTCGAAGTGTTACATTGCACAGGATGAGCAAATTGTGACACGAGAACCTGGAGAACAGAAAAGGGATGCTGCAAGACACAAATCTTAGATTGACTTTGTAGATAGTACTTCCAGATTAAAAGTAGAGTACTTTTAAAACCAAGTTTTTTATAAGCTAATATAAAAACATGGGGGATGTGTTTAATTTTTTTTTTTGGTAAATGTTAATATGGTTAATTTTTTTATACTTGTGATTCATTCACAGACCATGAGGTTTGCAGAAGACCTTACATGACAGTAAATAGCCATAGTATAGCAGCTGTCACTTATCCTTGCAGGAGCCGAGACATTTCCAAATGGTTAACTCAACTAGCATCCAATGATTTGTTGCTGGCGATTAACAACTGTTAGTCATGTTATTAAGTAGCTGACTTTATTAGATAAAGATTCTACTATTTTTAAGGTTACTTTCACATGAGATTAATTCACACCAACAGATAAATGTGGCTGAAGAGGAGTCTGTCCATGCTGGGAAGCAAGCCAAGCAGAATGAAACAGGTGATTTTAAAATTATTATTTTATTTTATGAAATTTAAATGGTTCAGTTTTAAAATTAGTGTCTTCACTTGCAGTCCACAGCTTGCAGTTAAAAACATTTAAAAACCAAACACCCCCCCCCCAAAAACCGCCCACCACACACAAAAAAAGCAAGCTCAGTTTTCTACTGTTCCTATCTCGTGAACTTGGTAACTGGTGTTCATGGAGTCCCTCTAGCCCAGGGAGCGAGGATGGGGCACCACGGCCATGTGCTGCTGGGATCGCATGGGCAGGGGAACAGCTCACAGAGGCTGGATCTGTGCGCTGGCAGGTAGCCTGGTAAGGCACGTCTCTGCTGCTGGCAGACCTCTGACATGCAAAGGGCGTGCAGTAGTGTTTCTCCACCTGCAGGTGCAGTGGGATATCTATCCTCCCTTGCTTGCCCTATGCATGGTTCCTGGTTTGGCTGCGCTGTGCTGGTGCCTGTGGGAGACTCCCTGCAGGAAGGGACAGTGGCATCTGTGTGCCCATGGAAGCACGGGTCCTCTGATGGACCAACGCTTGCACCTTGGCACTCAATGCCCCTTCCTCTGTGCAGCGGGTACGTGTGGTGGTGCAGCCTCTACCAAGGCTTCCTGCAGGGAGGCAATTTCTGTTTCTTTCCAACAACGTGACGTGATAGAGAATTGTAGAATACTTCTGGTTGGAAGGGACCTTTAAAGGTCATCTAGTCTGCCCTGAGCAGGGACATCTTCAACTAGATCAGGTTGCTTAGAGCCCTGTCCAACTTGACCTCAAATGTTTCCAGGGATGGGGCATCTACCACCTCTCTGGGCAACCTGTGCCAGTGTTTCACCACCCTCATTGTAAAAAATGTCTTCCTTATAGCTAGTCCGAATCTACCCTCTTTTAGTTTAAAACCATTCCCCCTTGTCCTGTCGCAACAGGCCCTGCTAAAAAGTCTGTCCCCATCTTTCTTATAGGCCCCCTTTAAGTACTGATAGGCCGCAATAAGGTCTCCCCGAAGCCTTCTCTTCTCCAGGCTGAACAACCCCAACTCTCTCAGCCTTTCTTCACAGGAGAGGCGTTCCATCCCCCTGATCATTTTTGTGGCCCGTCTCTGGACCCGCTCCAACAGGTCCATGTCTTTCCTGTGCTGAGGGCTCCAGAGCCGGACGCAGTACTCCAGGTGTGGTCTCACCAGAGCAGAGGGGCAGAATTACCTCCTTTGACCTGTTGGCCAACGCTTCTTTTGATGCAGCCCAGGATATGGTTGGCCTTCTGGGCTGCGAGTGCACGTTGTCAGCTCATCTCCAGCTTTTCATCCACCAGTGCCCCCAAGTCCTTCTCAGCAGGGCTGCTCTCAATCCCTTCATCCCCCATGAATGGTGTGCTCTGGTCCCGTTACCCCACACAGAGTGGATGATGCTCTGGAGATGCCTGGTGCTGTTGTGGAAGTGCAGCTGAAGGAGCAGAAATGCTCACCTGCAGCTCCTGTTTGTAGAGAGAGAGATGCGCAGCAGCACAGCTCCTCTCTGCAGGAGGTAACCTGCTGCCGTATGCAGGGGCCTTGCGAGTGCTGCTGTAAATACCTTGCGTTGCAGGGCTCTCTCTGTGTGTGCCCCAGCTACAAACATAGCCGTGTGCCTTAAGGTAGGAAAGGCTCTTAGCTGCACCTGGAATAGCCATTATTTCCTTCTCGCCAGTCTACAGCCAATGCTTTGTATTTCTTTGAACTGGGCACATTGAATTTTCTGTGATCCAGTGGTGTCATTTCCCGTACTGCCAGTGAACATCTCCTGCAAGATGTTTCCTTCCAGGATCATTGGGCTGAGTTTAATTTTCTTACAAATACGATAGAATTTGAGGGAACATGGAGCCTGAAGTACAGGCATGACACTTGCGTGCCTGACCCAAAAGAAGGTCCAAGCCTAGCAATGGTCTGAGGGGAAGAGAAAGTAGCTCCTTCCTTTCCCTCTACCCTGCTCTGAAGTTCTTCTGTAAATCCCCACCAAGGCTGTGACCCACAGTTTGAGGAAAAGCTGCTTTCAGCACAAAAACAAAGCACGCATGATCAAAATCAGTCTTAAACAGGAAATGTTTCCTTAGTTCAATTTCAGTATCAAATTATTTGGGAGGTGGCTTTTTTCTGTGTAGTGATCAGTTTTTAAAGTGATTATTTTTTGTGTGGATTATTCCTTGCAGTAACTTGCTTAACAGGTCTTTCTAGGTCTTCTAAGACAATGAACTCACAGCTCTCTTTCTACTGCTACCACCCACCATCTTAGAAAATGAATCACAAGTTTGAAGAGCCCTTAGATTAGGTAGCATTCTTTCTGTGCTTGTGTTAAAAGCAAATTTTTACTTTCCTCTTAGTTATTGTGCGTTTCAGATTCATCCAGGTGAATACCCGAAAGAGCTACTTCCAGCTCTAGATGTCTGAGAGGGTGACTTCTTTGGTAGTTCTTCCCATTTCCCTCCAGTTACAGCCCAAAATGAGCTAGAATGGGAGTCCTCCAGATTTTGGAGGTGCAGGTGAGGGAGAAGCTCCTTCATCAGTGTCCACCATGAAGCATACACAGAAGTACAAGGTGGGCACTACTACTTGGAGCAATCAAGGAGTACAAAGGGCAGAAGGTAGTTAATCTGTAATGAAACAGCTTTTGCAGTGGCTGGTAGAGATTCAGTGCAGGGAAACGGAGATGGTGGAAGGTCCCGCTGGTCTGTTGCTTTAGCCAAACACAAAGGGTCGTTCCATGTCTTCCAGAGCTAAGAGTCAAGGTAGCAATAAAATGATAAACTTGTACATTTTCATACAGTATGAGGGGCTTAGAAAGGGGTGGGCTCAGGGTGCTGTTTATTTAACATTGCAGTTCTGCACTGGGTAATTTGGAGATGCCTGATGTTTTTGTTCTATTAAACATAATCTTGAGATGTTTGTGCCTAATAAGTTGTACTGTTACGCGTTTATGCAAGTGTGTAAGAATGGAAAGGGTGTGTGTATGTGTGTTCAGTTACTGCAATGACTTTCTCACCCCATTGCTGTTCCTCAGTGATATCGGAGTCCAGTAATTCACAGAAAGGGAAAGACCCGTCAAACTCTGAAAACACAGAGACTCTATCAGACAACTTAGCCTCTCAGCACAGCCAGCAGTTAACAGGAACCGTAGCAGTAAGTGTTTGGTGTATGGTGAAACAGTCTTTGCGCCCCTTTTCCCCCCTCCTCCAGCCTGCTTTTTTATAGCAGACTTCTTCAAAGAAAACTAGTTTGTATCCAGACCCAACAATGTTTTCAAACTCCATCTTTTATCGGTGGGAAGTCAGCCCAAACTCTTGCCTCTGGAGCTGCAATTTTGGCAAAACTGCTTTAAAAAGAAAGAAGCAATTTTACTCCCTCTTATAAGGAGGGGATGCTGGGATGCTCTTAGTAAGAAGCTCATAGTGTCACTTATATGCAGCCTAAAATGTTTTTATGTGTGGCTAATGATGAACCCGTCACCCAGCTGTTGCCACAGGCTAGCACTGAAAATCTGTTCCTAAAAAAAACCCCACTACTTTATTGGTCATATATACTCTCTGTTCATGGTTTCGTGTCTCCGAGCAGAAAACGGTTAACTCTGGTGTCACCGTGATTACAGTGAGCCAGCAGACTGACGTGGAAGATGCTAACCAAGGCTCAGGTCAGGCATGGCTCCCTTCAGTTCCTTAAGTCTGACCCAGTTAAGTGTCACCCAGGTGACATGGTGAAGGCTTTGCTTTTGTGGGCCTTACAGCAAAAGCAGATAAAGCGTTTAATAGTAGCTCCAGAGGGTGAAGCTGTAGTTTCCTTGCCTCCTTCAGCAAAAAAGTCCAAAACTCCATCTCCAAGGATGAAAGCTAAGCCTAGGTGAGTGTCTTGCAGACAAAAAGTTGCAAGGTGGGTTTTTTCTGGTTTTGTCTTTTTGTTTTCCCTCCCCTGGGGTTTTAATGCATGTGATTGAGGCTTATTCCATCAATTACTAAATGGAAAAAAAAGATTCAGTTTTGCCACCCCGGCTAGCAAGGCTGGTCGCCCAGAGTTACAGTACTTTAGAGTTGCAGAACGGTGATGTTTGGTTACTGGCTTGGCTGCTACTTTGGTGTGACTTTTCTCTCTCATCATTGATTTAATCCAAATACAAGATGAGCATACAGCTGTATTACAGAGAATTTAACTTCAGCTGTGTAACTACAGCTCACCAGATATGTAGCTATTCGTAGTGAGGACCATGACTTTTGTGAAAGATCATGTGAATTTGAGTTCACCTTGGCATTAGTAATACCTTTTTTTTCAGAGCTTTGCAGGACAGCATTTCTTATAGTTAACAAGTTGGACTTCTGTAGAGCTACTGATTAGCTTTCTACCCTACACAATTTTTAAACCACTGCTTTGATGCTAATTGGTGCAAGTTTTTTTCCCCTCTTAGTACTTCACAAACCGACTCTTTGAGCTCTAAATGAACAGCCCCTCAGCACTGTATTCCTCTCATGTGTCTTCTCGTCCCCAGTGAGAAGCCCCTAGAAGAAGAACCCATGGAGGATTCAACACCAAGGGTATGTTCGCCTTGAGGCCCACCTGAGTGAAGAGACATGGGGCAGGGAAGAGATGCTCTGGTGGAGTTGCAGAAGAAAGCTAGGATGGGTTGACCCACTCTGGCCCTTAAGCGGTGTCCTGAGCCCACGTAGTGTCGTATCTGATGTAACGTGCCATTTAGCACCAGGAGTGATCTGCAGAGGCAACAGCGGCCAACCTCATTCTAGTGTGGCGCAACCACGTAATTCAAGCTCAGCTGTTTATTCAGTGTATGTTCCCCTGCAGCGGTGTGCTGTGCTTGTGTCCAGGAGCACAGCGTGTGGGCAACCAGCCTGGCCTTGTGTGGGACAAACTCGTGTGTCACAAGACTTATGCGTGGTCTGCAAGAGCAAAGCTTTACGTCCTTGTCGTGGTTTAACCTGAAGGGAAGCAAGTCTTGGAAGTCTACACACATATTCATTCAGTTTTGTATCTGAGCTCTAATGATCCTCCCACACTAGATCTGTCTCTGTACTCCCGGCATAGGAGCTTGCAACCTGGGTAAATTAACAACAAGTAACTGAGCCATTTGTAGTCGTGTTTCTTTAGACAACTTGAGCACTTGGAAATTTCTATTAATGTGTCCAGGTATAAAAAAATTAATCTATGCACTACACGAGAGAAATTAAATTCCCAAAGCAGTATTTTTCATTTGTAGTAGGTACTTAGCTTATATAAGAAATCACATTTTAGACTTGTTCTTGGGTTTACATTTCCAGGTACTAGTTTTAGATTTATTTTTTTTAAAATTATTTTTTAACTGACCGTTCAAAGGTTCTGTAACACTTGCCCACTGCACAATGAATTCAAAGCTTTTGAACTACTTCTTTGTGTATCCTCACGTCCTTGGCTCCCCAGTTTCAGCTCTGGGAATCCCATACTTTCTGGTAGGAAAGAACTGCAGGAAAGAGTTGCACCTGGACAGTTGTTACAATAGGAGGAATAGAAGTTCCCTGGCATGCCTTATTTCTGCTTTTAGCAGGCTCTAGGATAAGAACACGACTTTGTGTATTGTGGTTTTAGATCCTGCAACTCTTTTCTTTTCAGAAGGATGCTACCTGGGAAAAAAGAAACAGAAAAACAAGTTTGGCCAAGCAGAGGACCGAAGGCAGGTATGACACACGAGCCCTGTGCCCGTGCAGGGGCTGGTGTACCAGGTGATTTTAGACCATTTCTAGCACTAATGAGGGGACGGTGTGCCCACGGGATGGGCTGTCTGAACGGAACAGACAGCAAAACAAGTAGGAGGCTATGAAGGGTCATAACTTGTCTCAGTGCTTTGGGTCCCCAAAGCAATAAAGACTTCAGAAGCTAACTCTAGTCTGCCAAAAATGCCCTCACCTCTGTGATACTACGTCACGTTGTTTTTTCCATTTTTCCTCACCCAACCGTAATCCTCCCATCCTCCAGTGAGTTGAGTTATGAGTGGCACCTTCTTTCATAAATACCTAAGCTTTTTCTGATATTGTCCCAGTTCTTTGGCATCGTGTGTCCTAGAGTTTCAGGACGGTCTCTTTCTCAGTTTGTCCCTTTCCCTCACACCCATACGTCGATCTGCTCATGTTCAAGGCTATCGGCACTGCGGGCAGAAGCACTTGAGGGTTTGATGGCCGTATGCAGTCTGTGGCACTGAAAGTCTGTCTTGTTGCACCCTCCTCCTCCGGTCTCTGCCAAGTGTTGTGTGCAAGTTAACGTCTGCTGCTGGGCAGGAGAGCAAATGAACAGTACGCGAGGATCTCTGCTGCCGTTCTGGCTGTTCCGGGGCTTCCTTGGGTGTCCTGCTTCAGTCTACTGACTCTTAGCTTAAAAAAACTCCAAGTGTTTAAGTGAAATTTTTGATTGATTATAGATAAGAATGGGAAACCTTGATGCAGGACTTCATCGTTACTACAAGTTCTGCGTTTTAAGACCAAATAACCTGATGCGGCAAATACCAGTCGTAAAACAGGAGCAGCAGTGTAGAAGTTAGAGATGGAGAAGAACTTCTTAGTTTGGTCATTCTGCTCCCTCTAGTGTTTCATCTAAAAATGAGCGTTTCTTTCCTTCAGGAAGTTTTAACGAGGAGCTCAGTTCTTCAGTCTTCCTGTTCTTTCACTAGTAAGAAGGGGAGGGTGTACCGTATGTTGAGCAATAATTGTAGGATTTTTTAAATCGTTACAATTTGGAGAAAGAAATAAAGGTACGGTTAAGTTTAAATGTTGAAAGACATGACAACAAAATCTAGATGCATATAGAGAAGCGATTAGAGAACAAACATTAGGTGTTAGAATTTTCAAGAGGGAATTAAATGGATTTTTTTTCTCTTAAATGCTTCTGAAATTATCTTTCCATTCATGATTTCTTCCTACTATGTACTGTTATTGGTGATGTGGGAACAAAATGTCCACTACATAAACAGGGATAGGCTAACTTGTATCTTCTGAATATTTCTCTTAAAATTAAAAAATTTATAATTGAAAGAGTGAGAATCAAGACAGACAATAATAGAGACCAGGTAGGAAAGGAACAAGTATTATTTTTAGAAACTGAGAGAACAGCATTTTTAGGCATATAAAGTATCCAAGTGTTTACTGTAGAAGGGCGTTCATAGGGGAGGGGGGTGGAAACAAACTACGTTATCCCCGCCATATTCTTAATGAAGTTCTATAGGGTGACTCTTCGCGATTGTATTTCAGTGCCACATATATGTTGTCTTGCAGGAAAGAAATCTATGACTTTGAAAACTCGGACTCTGCAAGTCATGAAAAGGTAAAGTTGAGACAGAAGCTGTTAGGAGATGCGTTAACGTCCCAGCTCAGCAGAGTAGTAACTTGAAGCAGGGGATATCTCTTACTGCAGAAATGCAGTAAGGATGGACACGCTGTTATAGCAAAACAGACAACTGGGAATCTGAGGTTCCTGTATTTCTGTATGGTGCCATACATGGAAATGTTTTTTTGGGGCGGGAAGAGCACTCATCACTACTTGAATCTTGAGGTGGATACTGTATGATAAAACCAACTGCAATAGGAATTTGAGCTGTTGCTTGAGTGAGGCTGGGGGATATCTTTGCGATTGAAGGCCAACCTCTGTTTGCGTTTTACTGAATATTGAAAGCAGATTGCTGCGCATCCTTCACTTTGTACTCTTAGGCTAAACCAGAAGGGACTGAAATCTGTTTCGAGCCACGCTTGGCACATTGGGAATCCTGGTTAAAGCCGGTCATTGCAAAACTTTTGTTGGAAATTCAGCTTGACTTATATGTGCGGACTGTTAGAAAAATTGAATAAAAATGAGTCACTCTGCTCTGAAACTTTGACCAGCACGGGTTTTCCCAGGAAGCTGAAAACTTGCTCCTGATGGCTTCTGTCAAGGGGGCTTCCCCGTACAGACCCTTTGGCTTTCAGCCTCTTCCCTGGTGCAGGTGCTGTCACTGCTGCCTGTTAATTCGGAGGCGATGGGTGCTTAATGGGACATCCCAAATTTCTGTTATAAACTGGACGCCGTCCAGTCCTTGCTACTGCCACTGGGTGTCAGCATAAACCCCTGCTGCATGGTACCCTGCCCAGCGTCCCAGCAGCCCTGTCCCAAGGCTGTCCAGGTACTGTGCGCTGCATTTACAGCACGCTGCTGCTAGCGGTGTTAGTGCTTAAAATGACGTTTCTTATGGCATTGTTGCTTAAAATAAGCGTTATTCACAAAGCAAGGAAAAGAGAAAGTAACTCCATTTAAGATGACAAATGTTTGTCTATTATAATTTATGACGCTGTTTCAATCAACAAATCCCACTCCATTAAAAAAGTTGAATTTCCATGCTGAACTCGTAATCCATTCCTCCTCTAGCCCTTTCGAGTCCTGATAGGTTTTAATTTTGTAGATTATTTTACGGGGTAATTGAACTCTAAGACAAATACCTGCTTCTGTTTTAGGTCGCTGAAGCCAAAGGAAAGATTCTTGGCCAGAAAGTCTCTTCACAAAATCAGAGGTACAGGATTATACATGCACCATCCATGAACGTTTTGCTCTGTGAAAGAAGAGTTCATTGACTTAGTTAAGCTGTTTTAAGTTGGGATCAGAAAGGCTCTGCGATGTTTCTAATAAAATAGTTTCTTGCTTAGCTGCCACAGTATCTGTGGATGTTATCAATACTAATATTTAAACAGTACCTGAGAGAGAGAATAATGACTCCTGTCCACTTTGACAATAAGACGACTTTAACTCTTAAACATCCCCCTTCCCTGATCATATGCCTAAATTACTGATTTAATTTTTGAAAAATGCTTAAACCCTCTGCCTTGCTTTGGCCACCTCCCGGTTATAGCAAGCTGCCAGGGACTTGCCACCTCTAAGTATGTAGCCCATTTTTTCTTTTAAAAGGTGCTAATTTCCAGGTATCCCCAGATTGCTACTTTCAGAAACCAACCAAAGAAGAAAACCTTGGCTACTGACTGCACATTAACAGTTTGGTTCTCCTGCTGATCTCTTAAGGAGCTCCCTGCCATTGCTATTTGGCTGTGCTGCTCCTGCACTGCTGTGATGTGCTGTTGCAGCGTCTGCTAGTCTAACTCTGGTCTTTATGGGTTACTTGGCAGGAGTTACGAAATAGGAAACAAGAACGAGGAATCAAACAAGCTCGAGAGAAGGCCGGTAGGTCGTCTGTGCTTTTTCATCCCTAGAGCCTTTGGTTGCTGTGTATATCCACCTGTACGCATTGGTTGCACCCTTAAAGAGGCTGAAGTTTAAGGCTTACCCAGCACGGAGGTGGAGGGATGTGAGCCTGGGAGCCTCAAAATAGCCTGCTTGTTGCTACTGAAAGCAGTGCTCAGGGTGCACCAGGACTGCCAGACCAGCGAGTGAATGTCTGTGTTCGTTTTTCTTTCTCGCTGGGCTCTTGGCTGCAGCTGAGGCACGCTGAAGCTTTCCTCCTTGCGAGAGCTTTTTATCTGGATGCAGGAGGGAGGGAGAAATGAGGATGGAGGATGCTGCAAACCCTTGGCAAAGGGCAAGCACCTGCCTTTCAGTGTTTTTATGCTGCTGGTTTTATGTTAACTGTTGCTGTTCTGGCAGATTTCACAGCTTAAAATACTTTAGCTATTGCACTGTGGGGAGGAAGAAATGGAATAATTTGGTGGTAAATGAAGGGGAACAGCTGGGGGCCTTCTGGGTGGATGGGGGGAGCTGACTGAGCAGGACTCACTCTTGATAGTGTCTTTAGTCCCATTACAGGAAACATCTTTTCTCTGAAAGCAACAATGAAAATACAAGCACTGGTCAGAGTGAAAAAAGCTGGATCCTTGACTCTCAGAACAGGTCACTGCCAAAATCTCTTGACTATACCCGAAAAAGACCCAGGGTGAGAAGTAAATTAAAAGGTAAGCTTGGTCCCCTGTTGACACTTAGCTATGCATGACATACTGTACTGCAGATAAGGAAATGGCTGATGATGGTTTGAGAAGGAGGATTTGGCTGAGTCCTGACGCGAGTAGGAGAGAGCAAGCTCGAGGCCGGCAATGAGGGGTGCCTGTGGAGGAGGTGCATCGTGCATCCTCGTGCTCGAAGAACCGGGCTTCTGTCCCCTTCCCTCCAGTGAATGTACTGAGGTTCAAACTTCCAGATAGAAATTGGGCACCTAAATCTATGTGGGTGCAGTCCTCTGTGTAATGGGGCTGAAGAGCCCATGGGTGTTGAGCTGATGGCTGTGTTGGTGCTCTTGAACACAAGAGGAGGAAGAAGATATCTTTGGAGCTGCCATACCTCCTCCCTACAACTTTCCCTCCTCGTGTCTCCAGAAATAGAGTTGACTGGGGAATAAACTTTGAAAAACCGCACAGTTTGCTGACCTATTTATATGCTGACAGGCCAATTGTCCTCTGAGTGATGTGATAATCTCTGATAGCATCCTCTGCTCAGGCCTGACCAACAGCAAACCTCCCCCGTGGCTGCGCTCCATGGCTGTGTCGGCTGCTGGGACCTCCAAATTCAAACTAAATTGCCCTGAAAGAGTTGGAATGTCTCTGTCCCTCTCATGGAGGATGAGCCTTGCTGAGGTAGCTGTTGGTTTCTATAGGGATGAAAAAGCTAAAGAAAGTTGAGGGAGAAATTATGCGTTATGCTGTGTTTCGTGGGAGTTGTTCACTCCAGTGCCAGCCCATGTGCCCTGGGCTGGGACTTGGGGCCATCAGACAAGCTGCTGAGCCTGCCCTTTTTTGGCAACTGCTCTGGATGCAGTGAGTTGCATATGTTTGCATCCTTTAGAAGCTTTGTTAGAAAGGGGTTTTGAAGCTTAATGCAAGTGTTGCGAAGTTTTCTCTTGTAAATGCCTGGAAAACCAAACTCAAAACTGGATTATTTAGCTGCGATGCAAACCTTAACTGGGTAAGGCATGCAATTACGTTGTCAGTAACCAGGTAAGCTTTTCTCCTTGCAGTGCTTCCAGTGTCTTCCGCAAGTAGTGGCAGTGACTACCCGACAAAGAAGGTAAGGAGGTATCATGCTTAGGTGCCTCAGATTTAAAAACATTACGTAATCAAAACGTGTACAAATGAGTGGGAATTAAATAAACTGGTCTTATCTTTCTTCTCAAATGTTCTGGTGGACAAATTTTCCAGTGTTGCTGAGACTGTGTTGGTCTACTAGAGGCTGGGGAAAGAAGAAGGTCTTAGGAAAATGCATGAAACTTCATAGAAACAACTGTGCACGAGCCCTAAGCAAGTTCTTCTAAAACTGTGATATTTACCTGTGATAGATGGAAAATTGGTCAGGAATTGGCATGCTTGGTGTGACATCTGCCTTGGCTGATGCAGATGTCACTCTAACAGGAACGAATTTGGCTCTAGGGGTGTGCTAAGAGCTAGAGCTGCCTATCCAAATACCTGCAGAAATCCCAGCTGGGTCCTACCAGGCTGTGTCCCCATGCTGTCCTCTGCCCTGTCCTGCCAGCCCAGTGCCTTGGGAAAGCTCATGTTCTCCTCTGTTTTGCTGGCAATTTTCAGGGCTTTTATTCCAAGTCCTATGCTCACACTGAGTCCTGGTTCATGCACCATCCTTTTCCACTTTCCACTATAGCTTTGGGAAAACTAACCATGGATTATACTGACAGAGGAATTAGTGGACCAGACATACATCAAGCAAAATAAAATACAGTTTAGCAATGCCAGACTTTTCCAGTGCCCAGCCGTTAAGTGCTGTGTATCAAATGTTTTGGAAAGGTCCTCACACAAATACGGAAAGCTTGGGGAAAAAATTCTCCAGATCTGGTAGTTGCATTAAAAGCTTTTATTTTCCACTAGAAACCTTTTCTTTTCTCTCTTGACTAAAATGCTTTGATTCTGCTTATGAAAAACTTCATCCACTATACAACTTTAATGGCTAAAGGGAGGATTTATGCATGCATTGAACTTCAGGGCACAGACCTCCTTCAGTATTGGAGAGAGCTATTAGTATGTTAGGCATATTTCAAGTGTATCTCTGTTCTTTGTGTTTAAAAAACAAACCAACCAACCAAAACCCTGCCCCCCCCCCCAAAAAAAAAAAAACCAAACCAACCCAAACCCCTACTTCTGTAGTAATGTTTAAATAAAATACATGCTTAGACTTGGTTTTGTTTTAACAGGAAGCATCAAGGCGAAGAGCTCAAAAGGAGATGCTAAGGAAAAAAAGCACATCCAGCTCCAAGGGAGACGATTTAACTACAGTGGATCTTGCTGGTATTTCTTCTTTATTCTTCTCCAATGCATTAGAAAAGTTGTTTTTATATATGTGGGTGTGTGTTTTTTGGGCATGGGTTGTTTTTTTATTATTTTTTTTTATTTTGCCTTTTTTTCTTCATGTTTTCTTTGTAAGCATTCTGCCTTGTGATATTTCTTGTAATGGCTATGAGGGCTGGATATTGTTTGTAGATAAAGTCTCTTGAGCAGAGAAAACATTAGCTGGAGCTAATGAGAGGTGAAGGAATGAACTTAACTGGCAGCAAGAAATAAAACAGCTTTTGGACTGTGTTTGAGTCACTGTCTGTTCACTGCGTGAAGAGATAAAGGAGACGGTGGTGTGGGGTGTTTTTTTTTTTTTCCTGCGTATATCATTAAATTGAGGTTTCTAGTCAATACAGGATTCAACCTCTGTCGCCTGTGTTGCTTGGCTGATCTCTTGTGCAGATGAAACGCTCTCAGAGGAGCTTGAAATGGGTCCGCTATCACTTGATGCGTCTGCCAAGGACTATTCCAGTGATGAGGAGAAGGCCACGCAGGTGCAGTACACAGCCCTTCAACTCCTTCTAATCTGCTGTCAGGCTACTTCTCATCTAAAACCAATGCATCATGTCGCTTTGCTTCCTGTGACGAGACAAGTCCCTGGCAGCTTGTCTGCAGTGCAGGATGGGTACCTTCTTACTTTGTTGTCCTTCTCTCCTTAGAAGTTTCATGATGCATCTGGCAAATTGTCAAGAGAAGAAGAAAGTTTTGAGCGGAAGGACTCAGGTTTGTCTGTCTCAATAACATGGAAGAGCTGTTTAAAAAGTAGAATGGGGTGCTGATGGACTTGTCATTTTCTTTCAAAGGCAAGTAGGCACTGAACTTTCTGATATTTGAAGGATACTTTTTGCATAAGAAATATCTTCCATTTCTCTGTTTTGTGTATTGTGACAGACTATGGCAAGATGCTTTTATATACATTCCTGAGTTCATCATTAACTCTTAAATACTGTCCTTGATCACAGGGGAATGCTACTACTGTAGCTGTTAAGAGCTGGGGATTTACAAACCCAATGACCCAAGAGAAAATATGTGAAATAAGTAAAAGAAGCCTGAAAACTAATTTTTAATTATTTGAAAGTGCAGTGCAACTTCATTTTAAAAAATAAGCATCTCTGAAAGTTGTTGACTTTCTTTATACCTAAGAATATAGATGTAGACCATCATTATAAGCATTTGGTAAATGGTGACAGCCACTGCTGTAGCTTTTTTTTAGGTAAGTGACATTTAAAGACCTTTCTTTAATGAAACAGAACTTGTACAAACTGATACAAAACTGCGGCACAGTCTTTTTGTGATTGGAAACAACTGAACTTCAAGAAAGTCGAGCAGCAATGGGCTGACTTCATCCTAATATTCCCGATGCTGATATAGTTCTGAGAGAGATTGTCTTAAAGTTACTGTTGTGACTATGAGCCAAGTCACTGAAGCCTTGGTCTCAGATAAAAGCATTCCCTTTCTCGTGAGCTGGCTGTGTTCATGTTCCCAATATGTCTCTTACCTGTTCAGCATTTGCAGAATATACTTCGCTGCACCAACATATCTGCTTAATTTTGGGGGAAGATATGTGCTGATGACTTAATTTTTATCACTGTTTACCGTACAGTCGTACAGTGGGAGAGGAGTTGATACCGTGCAAAGGCAGAAGTAGGCTTATGTTCAGAGATTTCGGGTGTGGTCTGTGACTGCATATGGACACTTGCTCCATGAACCTTAAACCTACTTCAGTGTGCTCCTCGTGGTCCGACTGTCCCCCTTGTCCTGGGCTCCGCCACCTTCCTGCTTTCTGCCCCATGGAGACTCCAGAGAGGTTGTTGGTCAAAGACACCTCACTGAGCTCAGAGAAGTGGACAGTGAGACAAAGGGATGATTTTTTTTTTTGCAAGTTTTCCTTAAAATATGGGCTGCAGCCTCCCTCACAGTGTTCCTAAGGGTTTTCCTGGGTTATAAGTAACTGTATGGCAACTCTCATGAAGCTGCAGAAAAGAAGGCTTTTATGGGTGTGAATAGTTTTTCTCTCTCCTATGTATTTATGCAATTTTTTTTTTAAGCAGCAGCTGAAATTAGCTCAGGAGCAAATGAGCATACAGAGATTATGAGCTTGAGCTGGAAAAGAGAAGGGGAAGAAGCTAGGCAAGAGTGTTTTTTCTGGTTAGAATAGTGGGCCAAGAAATGAAGGTGTCTTTAAGATGGAGGTATGGTAGCTTTCCAGTTATCTGCATAGCACTAGGCAGTCTAGTTGCCCGCTTTTGTGAGGGAAGAGACTTGCTGGTGAAGTCTTGTTCTGTCCTGTAAGTGTGATGCCAGACCCTAAAATGAAGTTGCCTGCTTTTCTGCAGGATTGGTAGTTCCAGTGGTGGTTTTTACTTGAGTAGCTGGTAGTACTGCCACGTACCTCCTGCAAAAGAACAGGTCTGTTCTGAAACATCATCTGTTCTCTTTCTAGATATATTCAGCGGCACTGTCATAAAAAAGCCTAAATTTTCCAGTTGGGAAACAAGTCATTTGTCCTCTGACACTTCCTATAAACCAAGGAAACTTTTTGATTCTGTAGAGAAGGAAGCAGAGATCCAAACAGGTAAAGTCAGATTGGCAATTAAGATGAAGTGTTTAAATGCTTTCAGCTTTTCTTTTTTGATGCTAGAAGTCATAGTCACGTGGAAGCTTGAAGAGAGGTATATGTAGTGAGTATATCTTCTCCAAAAGTCAAAATGTAGCAGAAGACATGTATTGCAGCATTGCCATTTGGATACCACATATGTAGGGGTGTGAATAAGGAAATTTGGGTTCCCTAACCACAATCCACTCGGGAAGCCGCTCAATGATGCCAGCACTTTATAGTCTTTCTGAATAGTGATTGTCCAGAGCCATTAAAAAAAGGAAACTGAAAAAAGCATGCAGATAATGGACAAAGTAACTGCAAAACACTGCTAACTCCGAACAGAAGGGGGTTAGGCTTTCCTCGCAATGAATAAGTAGAAGACAGGAAAACAGTGGCCTGACTCTTTTTTCCATTGTGCTGTGCTTTTGCCTCATTATCTGTAAATATGTTGCTCTTTGTGTTTGGTTAGTACCGTGTCTCTTCTTCCATGCTGCTTTCTAACAAGACTTTCTCAATGAGTTTTGGGGCAGTTTCATAGAATCATAGAATCATTTAGGTTGGAAGAGATCTTTAAGATTGAGTTCAGCTGTTAACCTAGCACTGCCAAGCCCACCACTAAACCATGTCCTTAAGTGCCACATCTGCATGTCTCTTAAATACCTCCAGGGATGGTGACTCAACCACTTCCCTGGGCAGCCTGTTCCAGTGCTTGACATCCCTTCCAGTGAAGAAATTTTTCCTAATATCCAATCTAAACCTCCCATGGTGCAACTTGAGGCCATTTCCCCTTGTCCTATTGCTTGTCACTTGGGAGAAGATACTAACACCCACCTCGCTACACCCTCCTTTCAGGTAGTTGTCGAGAGAGATAAGGTCTCCCCTGAGTCTCCTTTTCCCCAGACTAAACAACCCCATTTCCCTCACCCGCTCCTCATACATTAGTGTCCTTTAGCTTTCTGTCCCAATGCTTCCTACCACCTCGGTAACGCATCCCACTGCTATTGGCATTTCCCTCCTATTTGTGAGCTCTGGAAGAGCAAGACTCAAATTTGACCTCTCTAACAAATGTTGTTGTTCACATGAATGACGAACCCTTCAATAGCACGAGGGTTTATATTCCAATAAGCCCTCCAGCACAGTACTTAACTGGGCATGCGCTTTCTCCTAGGTCAGGAAATGGATGATGGTGTGGATGATGCATTTTTTTCCAAGATGCTGCGTGAAGACTTCAGTGATTCAGGGGTGATTACTGCATTTGAAAGCTTTATCAGCCAACTAAAGAAATTGTTCTGGGTAATGTGCACTCTCTTAACATGTGCGCTGTGTGTGGCATTTTCTCATAGTAAATGAAATTATCTTTTTATCACCAGGGGAGTTGGTGTAAATATCCCATCTGTATTTTGTGCCCAAGAGCAGATTTGTACTGAATCAGCACTTTGTATTGTGCAACTGTGTTTTTTTTTTTTTTTTTTTTTTTGAGTGGTTAGGTGTTCACACTAAATTTTTAGCACTAATCCTTGAATCAAGACTGGAGGCGGTTGCATTTACAAATCAGTTATGATTAAAATGTACACAGTTTGCATTAATGCTGGTCTGAAGTGGTGCTAACAAAGACCTGGTTTTGTGCAGTTAAGTGTGTTGGACTACTGGTGAAGTTTGCTTCTTTGCTGGCTGGATAGCATGACCTTGACCTGAATTCGCATGGGTTACATAGAGGTCTGTTGGTGTAACTAGTGTGGTTGAATGAAATCAGTTCATATTTTCAGTACCCTGCCTACGTGTCATCTCACTTCAGTTTAAATTTGACTTAAGATGGTTTCCGCTAAGCTGAAAGGCAGCCCACAGAAGGGTTTGCCTTCCAGGGAAAGGTTTTGAAAACTAGTCTTCTAGGTTTTGGCTTGGGCCGTTGCCCATCCCTAACAGCATGTCCTGTGGTTAGTCCCGGTACAAAAGGATGGAGACCAGTGCACAGAACGCCCTGAGGACTTCGGAGAAGAACGTGTCCGCCCTGCTGAGCAGGTAAGCTGTCTGCTGCTGACTGAAAACAGTTTCAGCTTTGTGTACATTTTGATATAAAAAGAAACGCCTCTTTGTAAGTGAACCTGACAGCAAGCTACTGCGCTCATTGTGGTTTGTAAGGTAAAATAGCTTGTGTGTGTTTCTCTTTTCCTTTTCTGTAAGAAGAGTTTCAGAAGCATAACTCCTGTGATTTATCCTGCTTTTCCTGTAAGGGGAGAGTGGATGGATTAATTAATGCAAAGCAAGCTTGAGTTAGGAGCAGTTGATGAAGCAGTCCTTAGACTGTCTTCTGATTGTCATCAGCGTTCACAAATCTGTTTAAAACCCCTCTTGTTACACTTAGTAACTTCTCTTTCTACATGTTTTAAGAAAGAAGCTAGAGTCTGATTTACTTAATGAAGTGGGGGAGAAGAAAAGTAAGGGGTCTGTTATAGACCCATTTCCATAGATTGTTTCCATGTGCATGAAACAAATGCCAGCTAATGGACTTTACATGCACTTACCAGATAGGGCTTTAAGCAGGTAATTTTGCTTTATGGGTTGTCAAATTTCTCAGGTAGGGGCTAAGTTAAAAAAAAATCAATTATAATAGTTATGGATTTGTTATAAGAGAAATACAAGCACAGCCTGAGATATGAGTAAGTCTATCAGGCCTCCATATCTACTACATATCCACTTTGCAGGATTTAGATCAAACGTAGTACGAAATAATAGCCTTTAAAGTGCAAAATCCCTGGTTTCAACAGGTTCTTGCTCTCTGAGCAGAATTTGCTTGTCGTTAAGGTACATGGAGAAGTTTGTGTTTCAAAAACAACACCAGCAAATGTTTTGGGGTGGAAGATAAGAGTTTGACGGCAGTGAGCTGCTGCCGTTCTTTGATGCTATTAACTAAGTAACCCGGAGTCAACCAGAGCCACAGGATAGTGGGGACAGAGCTGTGCCAAATCTGTCCTACCCCAGAAGGGTAGTTTCTGAAGTCACCATCAGATGATGGCTTGGCATCTCACTGCCAGGGGAAGAGTGGCAAACCCCAGCGAATAAGGGTGTTGCTGGTTAAGGTTTAGAAATCACTGGCATCCTGTGGCAACAGCGTATATGTATATCAAACCCATGGTAGGAAAACCCATCAGAGGTTATTTGTGCCAAGATGTCATCTTCAGCTTGGGAAATCTCTGCTGAAGTTTTGTGGAGGCTGGAAGAGTATGCAGGGCAAGTATAGCACTGGGAAGGAACCCTGTTGTATGCTCTGTCCTGGGCCTCTGTTACTGGCTGCTATTTGAGACAGGCTATTCAGCTAAACTCATCTTCAGTTTGACCTGGTACAGCTATTCACATGCTCTGTGACGTACCTGAGAACAAAACTGCCCCATGTGTTCTGCAAGGATGTTTGCTTCTGCCTAAAGGGCAGGTTTGGAGCTGAAGGGGTTGTCATCTGCCTTGTGCTACTGCACATTAAAGTGTCAAACTTTTGTTTCTGTTCTCCATCACTAGGCTGAGTAAGTTGGAGACCTTCCAGAAGATTGTTGTTGAAGAGCTTGCCAGTCTTGAGAAGGAAACTCAAATCTTGGCAAACATGGAGAAGGACGCAGTGGTGTGTATGACTTCTTGTGTGCCAGCTCGCGGAGACACACCTTCCCAAGTAATGGGGGTTTTCTTTGGGGCTCTTTTTAGGACTTCTGGAACACGCAGTTGCTCAAACTGAATTCTTTTTGCAACCAGCAAAAGCAAAGGTATGTCTCTACCAGCTGTTCTGCATGCTCACAAGTCTTCTGATCGTCAAAGAGGGCACTAGTTAGCCTGGTGGTATCCTCACTGGTATATCGGGAAGTATTCTGAACCCAGTATAGCATCTCCGCTTGGTGTCCATTGATGGAGCCTTTGCAGCCTCGTCAGGGTTTTGAATTGAGACTAGGGTGCAATGAGGGACTCTCTGCATGGAAAAGTTGTGCAGGACAGGCACATACCTCAAGAGACTATACCAGGATCTGGAACAAGGTGCACCCTCTGGTCACATCTGTATCTAGGGGCCAGAGAAGGTGGAAGGAGGCGATCATTTCCTGTGTAAAAGATACTGTTGGTGCAAATGCTGAGCAAAAAGCTGCAAAAGGGGGAATCCTCAGGTTCATTTTTATTAGTAAATATCTCTGTTCAAGTTTCATCAGTAAGTACTAACGCTTCACAGACAAACTAGCCAAGCTCACTTTTCTTCCAGAATTCAGTCTGTTGACTCGGCCCTGGGTGAAACAGCAAAGAGTTTTGCCGACACCATCCAGAATACAACGGTATGTGCAGTATGCAAGCAGCTCTGTACGGGTGGTGGGCTCTGAGCTGTGGCCTGACTGATAAGTGTTGGAAGTGAGAAAATGAAATTGAAGTCCTGGGAGGGGAAATCTTTGCTTAGCTGATCTGTGGGGCTGGTTCTTTGTGGGACCTCTGGTCCTGATGCATGGAAAGCATCAAGAAAGCAGTGTTTGCCCTGCTAGGGACTAAGGAAAACGGTCAAAAATTACTTGCCTGAGGGAGAAGGTAAGGACAAGGATCATCCGGTAGCAATGCTTCTCCTGGGTTCATATCTCGGGGATTCCTTCATCCTGAGGCTGGTTTCTGTGTAGTTAGTGACCCTTAATGCAGTTCTCTTCTGTCACTTTGTCCCACTTGCCCTTGGAGTTGTGTGTCCGTGACATCCTGTGGCTAGGAGCTCTACAGCCTAACAACACCTTGCATGCTTTCTGATGCTTTTTGGGTCTGGCAACATCTAGCCTTGATGCCTCCAAGTTTGTTTTCTAAAAAACAAATTTATTCACTTACCTTATTCCAGTTAAATATTCTGTTTTTAAACTCTTCAGAGTCTGATCACTAACTTACACACCCATTTTAATGGAGTATTCAGCTTAATCTACAAATTAACTTTGATACAATGCTTAGTTTCCACCTTGTCCATCCCATCATACGTGTGTGTATTTTTGCTACCGCTGCTGTTCCAGTTTTTATGTGTAGACCTGATGGCTTTGGGGGTTTAGCATTAATTACTGTGATGTGTGTGTGATGCCATGTGTCTGCACTGCACAGAGCTGAAGAAAGCTCCTTGTGTTGAAGGAACAACCATGCCTGTGGGTCACTACAGTAGACTGGGCCTGTGATTTTAGAAAAGATGCTGAAAACCAGCGGCTTGTTTCTTTTAGCTGTTAAAGCTTGGAATCCTGAGCCTTTCCATTGGGAAAAGTTTCTATTACGAGCACTGAGTTGCTTAGGGACACAGGCCTTTCCCTTACCAGGGGTGCTCCTGATGAAGGACACCTTTAAAGAAGGGCAGGGCTGAGGAAGGAGCAATCGTATCATGGGAGCTGCTCATCCTGCAGCACCTTGCTCCAGGGTGGGTGCTGGAGAATTAAAAGCTGAATCTAAATGTGCTTCTAGGCTCTCTGCAGTTTCTTTTCTTATGCAATATAAGCGTTTGTATAAACTTTTGAAATGTTTTTCATTATCTTTTTTCCTTCCCTACAGTATGAACGCCCAATGAAGGAGGCAATAGAAAACAACGTGTTCACTGTTCCTTCTGACTAGAAAACCCCTGAATTCATTAGAGCTCTTAACATTTGAGTACCTTATGCAGCATAGAGAAGACAGTCCTGTGAAGGATGTTCATCTATTTTAAATGGAAATAAAAAAAAGGGGAGGAAAATAATATTGACATTGAGACTTTTTTTGCTTAAAAAGAATATACACTGCTGAGTGATCTAGTTTTGACCCCTGGGTTGATAGCATCAAGTTTTTCTGCAAAATGGGAAGATGAGTCCATTAAATATCAAAGAAATAGAAAATGAACTAAATATCACGATTTAGCCACCAAACTGATGCATATACTGGCTTTCTTTGAGTATTCTGCTAATACCTTTATCAAATGTAAAAGGATTTAATGATTGATGCTGAGTAAAGTATTGTTTGCATAGAATAAACAATCTCCTCATTTCTTTTGAATTCATGCACTGTGAATGCCTGCAGAAAGGTACTCTAGAGTGCTGTATACCCTGCATGGGGTGTGTTAGGGGTAGCCTTTCTCGTGTGCACCCAGCACTGTGGGAACTGCTGGCTTGAAACCAGAGCCACTCAATTCTGGATTGCAGAGATAAAAGCACAGAGAGATATACTGGACATTGGCCAGATGCCTGATGGTAAACTGGAGACTGTGGAGGGCAAGAAACTTGGAGCATTGCAGACAAAATGGCAAGTGAAGCTGGAGAAATTATTTTTAAAACCAGTGACTATTGGCTTCTAGGAGTGTTCAAAGTACAGTGAACAATGTTAGGATTAGATAAACTAGCATCAAAGGTCTCTTGAAAGAGAGTAGAGGATAAACCATGCTATTTAACATCGTATTCTGCTTTGACAGAGTTCCCTAAATCACGGTTGCTCTTCACAAATCGTTTTTAATGTTGTGGCAGACTTCACATGTGCTACTGCATCTTAATGAATTTGTGGGAACATGGCATGTTTCCAAGCTCTGTCTTCCTATCTACTTATCTTATAAAACCAATCTCAGATTGCTGTGTGGGTTGGAGTGGAGGGAATCATTCCCTGCACACAATGTACCTTCATGACAAAAGCCTACTTCTGCCAGGGTTTGTTTCACCACTGAATGTCTCTCGGGGAGCTGAAACTGTTCCTTCTTGAGAAGATCATGCAGGATAGCGCAACAATGAGAAGTTGATGTTGCCATAATCACTTTCTGGAGATTATGCTTATTTCTTTAGTTTAAGTAGTCCTGACTGGAGTTGGCGTGAGTCAGGACTTCACCTTCATCCATGTCAAGGGATGGCTGGCTCTTTCCTTCTGGGCTGGTTTAAAAGAAAAGACCTCTTCATCCCTGCCCTTCCCAAAGCTCCAGATCCGCTAGTCTGCTCTCTCCCATTCACAATGTGAAGGGCTGAAGTTGTGATTTTGCATCCACTACCTTGCACTTATTTCTTTGAGGGCTGGCCTCGGTGACCTGACTACACTGCATCCTCCTGCCGCTCTTCAGTGTCTTTCCAGCTGCTCTTTGAATCCAGTCTCTCAAAGCACTCGGCCAAAGTGGCTGTGTCTTTTGGGAGATGAAGCGGTAACCTCTGTGAACAGCGCTGCCTATGCCTAGTAAAGCTGTTTAGTTTTGCAGCCCAGTAACAGAGTTTCCAGCGCGCTTTTTGTCCCGCTGGTGTGGTGGTATGCTGTGGTCGCACCAGCACTGTCGTCAACTAAAACAGGCTTTAAGAGATCAGCCCAAGTGATCTGAGCATCCCTCCCCAGTGCCTGGCTGTACCAGGTCCAGAACAGAAAACCATTTGGGTCTTTTACTACCTGAGTAGTAATGCCAAAGTCATGGGCCTAGGAGTGTGGTAAGGGCTTGAACTGCCCTGTTGCTTGTTATTGTAACCCAGAGCTCACACTAGTGAGTGTAAAGGGACGCTTTGTGCAATGTTGTTCCCAGTCCTAAGCACCAAGGTGAGCCTTCTAGTAATTCCCAGGCAAATGCCTACATCCTGTGGTTTTATTCCCCATGACCTGGCCAAACATAATGGATGCAGCCAGGCCTAACAAGGTGCTTGATGTGAAGCAGACCTAAGAATTGAGAGGAGATTTCCACACTGCGGCTGGTCTTGTACTCTGAATTCTGCAAAGCCACAGAAACAGCGTTGATAAACCTGCATCTTTGGGGCGTGTGTCATCTCCTTCACCAGGGTGGATGGTGCGTCTGCTGGTTTAGGCTTGCTCACCTGCATCTCCAAGGAGCTTACTGTCCAAAGGGAAGGTTTGAAATAGGAAGAGGGTGAGATGCGATGGCGGTCTCTGGTTTAAGGATTTTTAAAAAAAATTTTTAATTTTTTTTCACACTATGACAATAATGGTTGATCTTTCGTTTCTGAGATGTTGTTTGATGGCTTCATTGCTCTCTAAGTTAAAGCTGCTAAGCATTTAAGCTTTGTCAGCACAATGGAGTAGATACGTAGCAAGTCTTGTTTCACTATGTTTCCCCACCTTTCACGTGGGTTGGCAGAATGCTCTCTTGGTGTCTCCTGTGACTGCAAAAATTTAGGAACGTTTTACATCCAAGTATCTTTGCTAGATAATTTAGAGAAATAAGACTGATGCATGCTCTTACTGTTTCAGTATCTCTTACTGTTGAATCTCCGTGTAACCTGTCACTACAAGGCCTGGAAGGCGGGTGTTGAGCACTTCAGAGGGTGTGGATAAAGGAGAAATCGGGATCTCTTACTTATTAAATTTATCATAATGTTGTATGCACTTACACTTGCTTTTAACTGTTCTGTTGGAAAAGTCTGAACTCTTAAAAGGCTGCTTTTAGTGATAGGTATGGGAGAACAGAAAGGGATGCCATACAGCTTAGATGTCTCTTATCCCTGTACTTCTTTTTCTATCCCTTCATATAAAACGCTTTACCTATTGAGAAGCTCAGTGAGTTCTAGCTTGGTAACCTGTGAACTGCCCAAGCTGGGAGGGCATGCTGGAAGTTTTGGTCTTTCTTTAATGGTCTTTCCATCTGTAGTCAGTAGCAGTTGTGTTTGGAGACAGCATCTGGGGCAGGAATGACTTTTTCTGATCTTGGACAGCCCATCTCATACCACTTCCCGCACTGTTGGATCGGGTCAGCCCCCTGAAGGTCTTAAGTCCATTTGGCTTCTGCAGATGATATCTTGGCAACACAGACCTGTAACTGGTTACCCTAACACTTCTTTTTGGAAGGTAGGTAGTTGACCTTGGCAGGTTGCCTTTGGCTGCTCACTTACGCTCTTAGGTGTTATTTATCCAGTTATTTCTTTTATTTTCTTTCTTTCAGTATAAATAGACAGTTTTCAACCTGTTCTTCTGAGCCAGAAAAACAAAGATGATGTGGGTGCTGAAGTGCTCAAACCATGCATCAGTACACAGAAAAAGAAAAAGAAATGGGAAATATGAAGTGCAGGTTAAGGACAACTGCTTCATGCATTTTAAGCTCTTAACCAGTTTAATATTAAACCCTGTTATAACCCCTGCTATCTTTATGCCATATTTCATTCAGGGGATGATGCTGTGCCAACTGCTTGTTTACCTGCACGTTCTGTATCAATGCAATGGTCCATCCAAGGTCTAGAGGGCTGCCCTTACCTAGTGGCAAGGCTACATGAAGGCTGCACAATGCCAGCAAAAGGGGTGGCTCAAAACAGGCAGAGTGACCAGAGGAACTGTGCGTTTGTGTTTGCCCTGGCCTGGGGTCGCCTCGCCCTGCTCTCAGTAAGGTGTGCTGATGTGGGCTGGAGTGCGCTGGGACAGGTCCCGCTCCTCCAAGTGGTAGGACTGTGTCTAAAAGAATGGCTTACTGGAAAATAGACATGTTTCCAGGAGCAGTTGAGAGCTGTTGTATATTGGAAACTAACACAGCAGCAGAGCTGTATATACTATATATGTTACAGTGTGGGTTTTTTTTTATCGTGAGCATAAGTTGAGAAAGCATTACTTGTAGCCAGACTGTGAGACACGCCCTGTAAAGCTGAGCCTTGGCATGCATCAGCAGCCTGATTTCTCTCCTTTAATTCCAGTGTTCCTGGAAGGGCCCTAGTAAAGCTCATTCCTTCCTCTTCATTCCTTGAGAGGATACTAATATCCAAAACCAGAGAATCAAACTTAATAGCTTTCTCTTTTCTGGTTTACTTCCCTGTCCTCCTACACACACCCGCTGGTGAGCCCAAAACAGCAGGGTCGAGTGTTTGCACATGTCCCCACTGTTTGTATTTTTAATATCAAAGAAATGATATTTTTGAGGTTGTTTTCAGTTGGAACCTTATGGTAGAAAACAGAGAGGAGAGACAATGGAGGAATCAATCTGAGAATCAAAGGATGACCTGATAGGTAAATGGGAGCTTTAAACAAGCAAGTTATTGCAACCTTCCTTTGTTCAAAAAAACAAGTTTTTACAGGTAGTGGGGCTGTGTATGGAGAGCTAGGAGTTCCCAGCTACAGTACTGTGTGACAGGAAAAAAGTGCTAATTGGCTTCGTAGTTCGGTCCAGTTTAAAATTAAGTCAGAAGAGATGCCATGTGTATGGCATTTCAATGGGCACCGCATCTAAGTCTAGAAACTGCAAATCAGTCAGAGGTGGGAGCGTTAGTTAAACATAACTCCCAAAACCTCTGGTATCTTATTGGAGAATAGCCCTCGTTCTTGACAATCATGACTCCTTGTGGGATAACTAGTTAGGCATTAGACTGTGGAGCTATTCTTCTTGCACCTCGGCTTCTGATATTGCAGTCTTTACAGAGCTGCCAGCTATCAGCCTGACTCACCTGAAGGAGTAATCTTACCTTGGAGCCAACTACAGTAGAAGAGATATTTTGTGGTGAGTGTCTTATTTCACAGTAAATGAATTGGAAGTACTTTTGAATCTTGTCCTGGTGCATATTTGGCTGCTTCAGCCTTCATTTGCAAAGGTAGGAAGTGCTGCTGGACTTGTTTTTCATGATGGATATTTGTGACTGAAGGAAGCTTAAAGCACTAATGGGACTTGATGTCTTGTGGGTGAATATAGCTGTTCCCTTCTGCTTACTTTGATTTTCTTCCAGAAATCCAGATGAAAGGTGGGGTCAGCCAAATTCAAGGAAGCTCTTTTGCAAATGAGGGAGTTGCTTATGTACCTTGTACAGGTATCTAAGCTTCTTTAAAGCATTTGTAGGAAAAATACTGGTTTGACTGACTGGCTTGTTTTGGGCTAGAGTAGATTTCGGTACTTGTTGCCAACACAGTTCACAAACAACAGAAATTTAGGAAAACAATTGTAGCAAACTGTTATGGAGATCATGAGTGGCATTAGAAGTGCTGCAGGCAGTATCTGGTCCCTTCACCTCTGCTTGGTCCATGGTGACACCTCACCAAGGGACTTATTTATCTGAGTCTTCAGGCTTGCCATGGGTATGAGTGTCTTTCCTAGGCTCGGACGCTGTGTAGGACAGAGCTGGAAGCATAAAGCTTTTGTTGCATCCATTCAGAGCAAAGGCAATGCCCTGAAAGCAATTAGAAAGGCAGTTGGTACTGCCCTCGTGTTTGGAGTATTGCCAGAAGATGAGCTTGGTAAAACACAATGTTGTTTTTTTTCCATACAACAAATGTTCCTTAGTGAAGGCAGGCATTGTACAGTTGTGATTTTGTCTGTTAGGTTGGATGAGGTGCTTCCTCCTCTCCCATTCCCCTGGAGTGGTCCAAGCATGCTACCAAGTGAAAATATGCCTGATAAACTTCATTTTCAGCTGATAGAATGTGGAATTACCTTCTAAATTATTTAAGGACTGGCAGTCCTTTCAAAGAAGTCAAATACAGAGAGACTGCTGCTTGCCATGAATATAGCTTGAAATGCCCTGTGAACATGTAGTTGCCAGAATCCCTTCTCAGCCTATATGTTGGTAGGAGCAGCTTTCAGACTGGATCCTCTTTGCTGCTCTCAGCTGTTACAGCTCTCATCTCTTTCCAAGAATAACACCAACTTTTTCCATTCATGGTGCTAGACACCATCTCTGTGTGGTAACATCCAGTACAGGGCTTTACAGCAGCACTCAGAACTGCTCTAGCTAAGTTTGAGATTGTTTTTTACGAGGGTTTGACTGTGAGAGAAGCAATGGAGTCACTGCTCATTTGAGAGTGAGCATGGTAACCATGGAGCACCTCTGCTTTAACGTTGTCCATTTCAGTATCTTAACACTTTCCAGGTTTCCCTTAGTGGCTGGAGCCGTGTGTCAAAGAATCCTTTGCATGCAGTTTCTGCATTTGATGGACTGGAAACTATTGGCAAGCTGAACAGTTCAATCCAGAAACAGTTTTTCAGTGGGATTCTCGTCGTGAAGTGGAAGGTTGCTGCATGATGCTTTTACTTTTCTTGCTGCCCAAGTGATTAGATTGCTCATGTGGCATGTGGAGAAACCTGATCTCCATTCTTTTATTTCGTGAAACAAACTAAACCCTGTATCTCCCATCTTTCAGGAGATATGTGTCAATTAAAAGCCTTTAATAGATGCCAAATCTGCACAGGATTCGCTGTAAATTCACATGCTTCTTTCTAGGCTGTGTTGACTGCTGATTTATTTACTTATTTTTGTCAGGTAGAACTCCCAAATGAGGTATTTTAAAGCTTTTATACAGCAGAAACAGCAGGCACAAGAAGCTGCATTGCCGGTAAGGAAGTCGTGACTGACTGACAGGATTCCACAGCTTGGCAAATAACGGGTAAACCAGGTCACTCGGCCCAGCTAGGTATGTTTGATTGGAGAGCTGACGTTCTGTAAACTGTATCTCCACCATGTTTCAACTGTGATGCTCCGGTTATGCTGCACTGTGCCCTCACACGGTCGCACACAGGAAAATCTAGAGATGTTTTTGGTGTTGTGTGTGGGGCACTACTAGAGTGCATTAAATTAAATGTGAATAAAAACTGGGAGTCAAACTCAGTTGAACTAATGAGTGGGATGCAATGGTCTTCCTCCCATGCAGTATTTGGAAATTTTCCTCCGTCAAAGTCAAGACTGCTCTTTTTAACTATTTATAATAGATGAATCAAAAGAATCTCACCAGCCTAAATCTGCAAGGCAAGAGAGCCTGGGAACAGGGAGGCAGCAGAACCACACAGGATAACTTTAACAAGTCTGTTCGGACTGAATTTTGGGCTGAAAGTGTTTTTCTATGCACTGGAAAAGGCAAACTCAGTATGAGGTATTCACATCATCTACTTCACGCATCTGAAATAAAACCCAGGAGCAAAGGTGGGAGCCTACGTTGCCAGTAGAGCCACTACTTAAGAAGCAGGACTGCCTGGGAGGGAGAGGGATGTTCAGTCTACCAAAGAAAGGTATCTCAAGTAGAAAGTGTAAGCATGCTGTGTCTGCACACTGTAGAAAACTGTTTCCTATCACCCCAATTAGTGTGTGTGTGTGAGCACAATATGCAGAAATACCACCTGCCCAGTCAATGAGGAGGGCAGAGCACAGCCAACAGTTGTACAAAAAACACAGGGGAGCTTTACATTGATGTGCATGGGGTTGGTGTGTAAAGTTGTTTCTCAGTCTGAGGTGAACGTCCTAAGAACTTTCTGAAAAAGTTTCACAACAAACGTGGTCTCACATAGCTACTTCCCAGCAATTTGATGCCTTAAATAAAGGGGTGTGGAGACAACCTGATAGTAAAATTTGTTTATTTACAGTGTTATGTATTACAGGAAAATCAGTTTAAAAAGTCAACGCTTCTCTTTCTTCAAAGTTGCAGCATTTTGAAGATGTTAAGACAGATCTGAATAATTTAAAACATACCTGATTCCAGCCTTCCTGGCTAGTCCGGATCTGCAAGGTGAGACCATCTTGGTTTTTTCCTTCCCCTCCCCCCAGCCCTTTGAGTTTCAAGTAAGGCATTTATTTATTTCTTTTTCTTTTGAATGAGGTTTCAACAAAGCAAAAGACAATATCTGTGGGTTTGGTTGCCGTAGTAAACTTTAACACTTAGCACGCTGACGTTGTCCACCTTGATAGTCAAATGCATGCTTTGCCATCAAAAGGTTATGGACTCCGCTCAGCCTAAAATCCATGCTGGGCCACACGACCATTTTGTAGACTGCCTTAGATGAATTGTTCAGCTAGTTGCCTTGCATGCTATCTTGTCAAAAGTGTTTGAATATTGCAGTTATTTTGGTTACCCAGTTTATGATGATGCAGTTTAGAGGCTGCTCAAATGTACTGCCTGTGCTGCAGCACTGTGGGGATTTCAGTTTTCTGCTGGAGCAGAAAGGTTTTGTCCACATTGTAACGGAGCAGGAACTGGCTGGAGGCAGATGGGATCCAATGGGACTTTCAAGCACAAATTTAAATTCAACTCTGACCTGAGACACCTTTCTCTATGCCACTTTCTCCTCTTGCTTTTGCTGGACAAAAGAGTCTGTTCTTCCCCCATCCTGTACCACTTCCTCAGCCCCTTCCCTTCCTATCCACGAGCCCTCCTGGCTGCTGTCTCTCCGGCTGCTCCCAGCTAGGCTGGCTGCCCTGCACCCGCACCGCTCCCTGGGACAAACCTTCCTGCAGCCTCCAAGACCCCCCGATGACAGGTCATCTAGAGGGGACAACTGACCCGGGAGGTGGAGAAGAATCAGAGGAGCAGGATTTGGGACAGCCTCCTCTCCTCTGCGGCGGCTTGGTCCCTCTGTGCTGGCCGCGCACGTGGTTTGTCCCCCTCCTGCCCTGGGACCCCTTGGGGTGACGAGAGGGAGAGGACACAGTCCCTTTACAGAACTGCTTCGGTCCGGGGGCTTGCTGGGCTGGGAAGACTCCGAAAGGTGTTTTTGTTGAGAGAATTCATACACACCGGATTGGAAGAGACCAGCACTACTTCACTGTGAAAAAGGGAGAGGAAAAAGGCCGTGTTGGCTTTTAGTAGAGATTTTGAAGTGGGCTAAATGAGAAAAGGGCAAAGACAGATCCCCAAAGCTAACCTTGGGTATTCTTCATTTCTAACCGTTTAAGTGGGAGGTAATTGCAGCTAACTGAAGCAGAGAAGATGGTGACTGGCTATTGTGAGAGACACACCATTACAGCTGCAGACAGCAAGTATTTCCTTGCTTTCCCTATCAGTCCCGTCTGTTTCTCCAGTCAGAGACCAGTCTGAACAAGGCCCACCTAGCACAGTAATTCCTATATAATGTGATTTGCTCATTGCTGAATTCACTTCAAGATTTTCTGCGTCTTCCAGTCTATTAATATGTGGCATGTCAGCTTGCTTCAAGTTATCAGTGTTTGTATAAGATTAACTTCGTGTACATTTACACTCAAAGGGTTTATCTTCATTAAGTTGCTGAGCTCCTATTTGTTTCAAAATCCATTTACTCAGAACTACTATTAATTTAGCACATCCAAAGTGACTTGTTTTGCTCTGACTAGAGCTCAAAATCCCATATCATCGAGTGATATTATGTATTCTGAATACCATGCTGGGCAGTCCCAGGTGCTACCAGTCCAGCGCCCTGGAATAGCAAGCTCCTGCCAACCTTCGTGCCGTTTGAGTCAGGTTGCACATACATAAAGCAAGGGAACACAGTGCACGTCTGTCTGCAAAGTATGGGATGGTGCACCTGGGCTCTGCCCTCTGTTATGTCCTTCCCCAGGCTCCCACAGGACCAAAGGGACGGCTGCACCTCACTGGTGTCCACGGGAGGGAGTGTGTTTTCGGGAATGGATGGGAAGAAGCAGAGAGGGGTATGGTGATGGAAAAGATATGATTCTCACCTTTTTTTCTTTTCTCTCCCTTCCTTTTCCTGACCTTGGCCATGGTTTAGCTGAACGTGTTGGGTGCACTGCGAAGCCTTGCCTCAAGACCTCCCGCATGCACAAAAAGTGCTCACCGTGTTAGTCTGAACAGAGTCCTAACTTTTTGAAGGCATTGATGGATTTATGCATCAAGTGTTTTATAAGGCGTTTTTGTGTCAGCGTTAGAGATCAGAAAGGTTTTCTTTTTCATATGAGAAAGATCTTGGCCTTCTTTGTTCCGATGGTGATCTTTGACAGGACAAGTAATTCTACTAGTTTTGTTAAAACCTAAATAGTGGTACATTAACAAGTGTCTGGTACAAAGAACTGATAAACGTAACCAAACAGGTTTTAAGCTAAAGCTTGTAATTCAGTCTTTTTCTTTCTTTTTTTTTTTTTTTAAATCATAGGAAATACTATAATTATTGTTCTTTCTTATTGTTCAGGAATCCATTGGCAGCAGCTAAGTAGTCCTTATGGAAACCGTTCTTTATTTCTGTTGTGACAGGGGTTTCCTTTATAGCTGTTCTTGCAGGTGCTTTCCGGTATGTCTATAAAAGCAAAATCCAAAGTAAATACTTGGATTTATTTAGTGCCCCCCAAACACTACTTATGGTTGACTGTAAAATGGAGCTGTCTGGTGTTGTTTGATGCAGATGTATATATTTGCTTCAGACTGTATTAAAGGAACTGTATTTTCACTGCTGTGGGTGATATTACCTTACTAGTATTACTATTATACTTCGTGATGTCAAAAGAGATTTTAAGCCCTTTTCACTAGAACCTTTATGTATGCAGGCAGGCTGGAGCAGTCCCTGCTAAAAAAGGTTGAAATAAACAATGCAAAGACAGAACTGCTTTTTTCTTTTTCCCAAGGAGGGAGGAAGACTCAAAAAGTTGCCCAACAGAGCAAATTCAGACCATCTAAGTCCTGCATGTGGTACCTGACTTGCTATACAAGTGCAGAGGAGCTGATCTGCAATGGGGAAGTCATCATTATTGAATAACCGTCTCTTGAAGACATTACTGTATCTATCATTCTTAACTGACATATATCTTTTAATACAAACATATTTTAAATACTGATGCTCATTCTACATGTGAGTTCATCAAGACTGCTATCTAAAAAGTTCTTTTTTTTCCTCCACCCTCGTCAGAGAGCTCTTGGAAGACTGCTTACCTTAATGTAGAAGTTTATGAAGAGAACGACCAGTGTGGCCATGTAGGAGGACTGAAACATGAGGCAGCCAAATGGGAATCCACATGGCTTCACAGCTGCGCTGAGTGTGTGCACAATAGTGAGCAGAAACTGGATCTGCGGAGGAAAGATCATGCATGAGTACTTGCTGAGAAAGGGTCGGTGCTAGCTAAATCAGATAAAACAATTCACCTAGTCCTGCTCTTTGAAATTTTGAGTACTCTTGAAAACTATCCCTTTCTGAATCTGTGAATGTACTGTGAGGGTTAAGTTAAAATAGCGCTCTTGTGAAATAAAAAAAAAAAAAACATAAGGGGTCAGAGATTTCTAAAAATGAACTTATAGGCTTAACTGGCAAAACGAAAGCTCCTTTTTTTTAATAGGGGTTGTTCTATCTTCCAGGCCATGTTGTGCCAGGTACAGCATTGTCTCTGTTACTGGGCAGAAACTCGAGAAAACTGTGAAGGCTCCAAGTTCTGAACAGAAAAAGGAAATCCCAGGTCCAAGGAGAAGTTCAGGTAGGCTGGTATTTGCATTAACGGAGTTAAGATGGGGACAAATATAGCAAAAAGGAGATGGAGAAGGAATTGTAGAAGGCTGGCTTTATTTAGGACTGTGAACCACAGCCAACACTGGTGCATCTGATTCTCCCCAGCCAGCTGAGTGTGTCCTCAATCCAGTGTACTGAGGTGCATTTCAAACAGTGTGTTTCAATTGCAGGGATGGTCTTAGCTCAGAGAAGACGCATTTGCTAAACACATGTCTACATAGGTGTTTTTAAGCTCACTGCAAACATCGGAACTCCCAAATAATATGAACAGGGCCTACGATAAAAAAAGTGAAAGGAACTTTACTTCACATCAAGCCTTATATCTTGTTGATAGAACCTTTTGATGTGGCTCAGCTCTTTGGGTACAGCAACTGCTGGATAGACTTTTAGAAGTTAGACCACTTCTGTCTTGTCTAAGAGTTAGTTTACATAATTTTGCATTTTGTAGTTGTACCACGGTGTGGTGGGTTAACCTTGGTTGGCTGCCAGGTGCCCACCCAGCTGCTCTCTCACTTCCTCTCCTCAGCAGAGTAGGGGGAGAAAATAAGATGAAAAAGCTCGTGGGTTGAGATAAAGGCAGGGAAGGTAAATGGTAAAACTTGCCCATTACCGTCACAGGTAAAACAGACTTGACTTCAGGAAGATTAATTTAATTTATTGCCAATTAATAACAGAGAAGAATAGTGAGAAATAAAATTAAAAGCACCTTCCCCTAAGCCCCTGTTTCTTCCCAGGCTCTGGGAAAGAAACTTCACTTCTGACTCTTCTGCTTCCCTCCTGCAAGTGGTGCAGAGGGATGGGGAATGGGGGTTGCAGTCCGTCCATATTGCTTTGGCTTTGCTGCTCCTTCCTCCTCGTGCTCTTCTCCTGCTCCAGTGTGGAGTCCCTCCCACGGGACACAGTCCTGCATGAACTTCTCCAACATGGATCCTTCTTATGGGCTGCAGTTCTTGAAGAACTGCTCTAGTGTGGGTCCTTTCCGTGGGTGCAGTCCTTCAGGAATGGACTGCTCCATGTGGGGCCCTCACAGGTCCTGCCAGAAAACCTGCGACTGTGTGGGCTCTTCTCCACAGGCAACCGCTCCAGACAGGAGGCTG